CTCGTGCTGGTGACCGCTGTTGTTGTTGTGGTGGTTGCTATGGTGATGGTTGTAGTGGTGTGTGCGCGTCTGTGCGTGGTGGTGATGGTGGCTGTGATGGTGCCCGGCGGTGGCGCCGGACGACCCGGGGAACAGCGAGGAAGAGGAGGTGGAGGTAAGGACCTTGATGCCGCCGGTTCCCGACGCGCTGACCTCGTGGATGTGTTTGAGCAGCTCGTCCAGCGCCGACACGTCCACCACCGTCTGGGGGAGGGACTGCTGGGAGTGGTGGTGATGCGGGACTCCTCCCCCTCCCGCCGCCGCCGCCGCCGCCCGCTCATCATTGGAGATCTTTCTCTCCTCTGGGAGGTGCAGAGAGGTCGAAGAGGCGCCGTGGGGCGTCCCGTTGCTTAAACCGTTGCCATGGTGATGAGGGAAGGGAAACACCTGCTGGTTTAAGGAGTTCCCGACGACGGCCATGAATCCCAGACTGGAGGCGGAGCAGCTGGGCTTGTCTCTGGCGTTGTTGCAGTTCTGGTTCTTCTCGTACTGATGGTGTCGCAGCGCCTTCATGTTCCTGATGGGAAGCTCCGGGGTGGAGTCGGGCGTGGGCAGGCCGGAGAGCTCGCCATCCCCCTGTGACAGAGACTAAACAGAGGTCAGAGGTCAGACGCGGCCGTGGCGTGTCGTCAGTGAGATTAAAAGCCTGAAAACCTCAGAATGAGCTTTAGCGCGTCACGCTCCGTGCTGACAGCAGAGGGCGCTGTGTGCAAAGCTTTAAGCACTCATGTGTTAACCAGCTGAGTGACATCAGTGTCTGAGCGTGTCAACGAGCCGCACGTGTGCAGCGACCTCGGTTCTTTATGCAGAAGCAGACACGTCTCCGGCGAGCCGGACCGCAGCCGGAGCATCACTCCGACCCAGGGAGCACGGCGCTCCGGCTGCGGTCCGGCTCAGCGGAGATCGGGATCGTCCACAGGAAGGGAGACTGGGTGAGAAGGCCTGCAGCGAAATTTCAAAATAAAACACCTGTAACATCTTTAATGTTAGCATTAAATGGCTGCGGCGTGTAAGTGTGATCGATTACACGTCCGAGGCGTGTGCCTGCAGTCCGCTCCATCGCTCACACTCACAAACTCTGATTGGACAGATTCCTACCTGGGACAGGCTGAGCTCGGGGTCGCCCAGCGGGAGGCCCTGGTGCACGGGGCTGTGCAGGTGATGCTCGGCCCGGCCGTTGGGGATGAAGGAGCTGTACATCTTCGGGGTGGACACGTCCAGTTTGTCCTCCTGGAGGAAGAGAAGAAGAGGAGAAGCTGCGATCAGCTGTCTTTGTTTGCCGTTTCATCTCTAACAGGATGACCCTTCAGTGGGAGGAGCCATGGAGAACAATGAGGAACTTGTATAAATATGCATTTGAGCCGAGGGTCAGAGGTCAGCTCAGAGATTCAGTTTCCTGCTCAGGGACATGTGGACAGAGGATGGAGTTCCTAATGAAACGCTCAGTAATGAGCGAGTAAAAGACTGAAGTGAGGCTTATTAAGTCTGACCCCGGGGGAGGAGGGGCTGAATATTAACACCGCTGCCGCTCGCAGACGTGTGTCAGCTGAAGGGCTCAGGTGAGTCTGATGAATCCGTTTCCTCGTCTCGCTCACCTTGGGCTGTCCGTCCAGCAGCCCGTTCAGCTTGGCGAGGGATCGCAGCGACAGGGCGTGAGGCAGCGACGCCTCCGGGTCCTTCCCCAGCCTCCGAGCGCGGTGGGCGGCGCTGCCGCCGCAGTAGCACGACACCAGGAAACCCGACAAGATGGCGCCCAGGAAGAAGGCCACCAGCACGCAGGCGATCAGCAGCGTGTAATGCACGTTAGCACCGGCTCGCTGGTCCATGTCCGGAGGACGCCGCACGCCTGGAAGACACAGAAGTCATGTTTCACCTGAGAGTGACCGC